GCCGTTGCAGAGATGATTGTACTTAAGGATAAAATATCCATATAAAAGCTCTCACCCAAGCTTCTAAACATTCTTTCAACTCTTTAAAATACAAAACCATATTGAAAGATAGTATGGCAATTAATCCATCAGTATTATAAATATATCAGACAGCTGAAGCATTCTGCCATCTTGCTCTTGGGTCAGAGAGTAGAGATGGCCCCTGTGGTAGCCTGCTTGGAAAGCAAATGAGTTGAATGCAGATTTTTGGTGGAGCAGTTTGTGGGAGATGTGCAGCACCTTGCAAAGGTAAAGGCTGTGCTTTCATAGCAGTGGTACCACAACTGAATGCCACTGTTGACTGAAACGCTGACACTTGAGGTGGTGGGAGGCTGATTGGCAAGACAAGACCTCTTAGTCCTGTAGATCAAAATAGTCTTAAAAGGAATTAAAAAAGCAGGAGGCAGCTAATTCAAATATCAGAGCATTAGTTTAATGAATGCATGATGGGAAACTTCACAGCAAGGGGCCCTTTTGCTTGCAAACCAGCTGCAGCCTCCAGACGGACTGCAGCTTATGTATTAGTTTTCAGGAGCCCTGTGCTGTGGCAGCAGTCTAGAGGTTTGTATCTGAATGGAGCAAGTACACCTCATCCACAGAGTTGAAAACAAGGTAGCATGACCTTGACAACCTGATAATCTAGTCGAGCATCCAGACTGGATCCACAACAGCCATGGTTTCTCTGCCACAAGGGCTGCATCTTCTGGGTGCAACAGCATCTCTGTCCTGTCTTGATTCCTACCAGCCTTCCTCCTCCTTCCTCTCCTTCTACTTGCAGGAGTTGTTCTCAGGCCCTGTCTGTGCCCTACAGTGCCCACTGCACCCGTGGAGGTGAAGGTGTAAAGCTGCACACTGTTCTGGTCGGTGAGGGCAGTCTTCATGTGTTCTTCCTCTCCTTGAGAGCCTCTTACTAAGAGATGCAAGGAGAGTTCTGACATATCTGTGGTGCAGTTAGAAGGAGAATTGGTTACAATTAACACACTTGAGAACTGTCGGCACTGTTTTGCAGACCCAACCTCTGTGTGAGGTGGGACTTACAGGAGTAGTGTAAACAGGGAAAGACAATATGTACATTCAAGCATTGCACAGCAAATGGAAGTCTCTCCAGTGGTTTTCAACCTTTCCTGTTAGTATAAATATTTTATTTCCTTGCAATGTCAGATCTCTTCAAGAACTAGTGTACATGGTGCTCAAACTGAAAAATTCGCCTGCTTTTATCCTGATATTAACAAGAGCTACACTGAGATATAATTGTGGTAGGGACTGGATAATAGCAATAATAGTTAGCATGTTAATTGCTTCAACTCTCTTAAGCATTTTGTGACTGCCTGATCTAAAAAGCCTGTCATCTTGCCTGCGTGGTTTGTTTACGGATGAGCTAATTCCCTTCAAATATCAGCCTACCTGAGGCTGCACTATCAATATCCAAGAGAGGTTTTGAAATTAGAAGTTCCTGGCTGTTTTTATTTTCCCATCATAAGATGCTGTCCCTGGAGATGTTTAGCCACAGTGAGCCATGCTCACAATGATCTTATAGTAGATGCCAGAGGCATTCTTGGCATAAATGAAAATCCTGTTTGTTTCAGCTGATTAACTTACGCCTTTTGATACAGCAGTCTAGCTTTCCTTTGTTGGTAGAATGGTTTCAACAAATACTACATTAGTTTTTCATGGGTTGTATATTCACATGAAGCCTCCACCTGGAAAGAGCGTGGTGCTGCTGTGCTCCTCTTCCCATCCCATCGCATTGCAGGCTGGTAACACCACTCACCTCCTCTGTATCATATTCAGCCATGATCAAGTCTGAAGCATTTTGCTTGCATGAGATTGCTGAGATGCAGGTCAGACAGTGCCTGGAGAGCGACTGTTGTACGGCTTCTTGTGCTCACATCGTCAGTGAAGTCCAAGGGCTCTGTAACCACGCACTAGAGACAGGGTTATGTATTCCAAAGACAGAGGGAACAAAATCTGAAGTTTGCACTACTCAGAATGACTACACAAGAATAAGACATGCATTCTTATACTTAATGATATTATAAGAGGTCTTACCTTATTATTCAAATATCTTTGATTGTTAGGAGTGACGAAAGCATAAACCAAAAAAAGCATAAAAGAAGATATAGCTTTATATCTGAAATTCCAGATACAAAATGAACTTAATATAGTTGGTAAAATTTGGAAGATCAAATTGTTGGGAAAAAAACCCAAACCATCAGCACTTTAGACTCCACTTCTGATCTGTGATCAGAAGGTTTTGTGTGGTCTTGTAATGGGTGTAGCACACTGTTCTGTCAGACCAAGACAGAATATGAGAGAAATGGACCAAAACTTCTGCAAATATTTACAGAACTGGTTGAATGCTGAGGTGTAGAAGTACCCAAAATTGGCCTGTCCTTTAAAGGACACTAATTTTTTTTAATGTTTAATCAAGAGTCAATTGAGGTGAACTTGTGTACTTATTTTAATACACTAATACTGCTCTTACCCTGAGGCTGCAATGAGGACCAGCTATGTGTTTAATTAAAAATAATTCTTCAATATGCATATGTAGTCCCAATTATATATGGAAGCACATGAACTCCAAGTGGTTATGAACAAATGCAAGATCAGGGCCACTGAGGGCAATTTGTCCACGGGACCAGAATATGGACTTAGTTATATTCTGTTTTTTTTTTTTTATTATTCATCAATGGATTGTAGAACAATATAATTTGCTTTGGAAACAATTCCACACTGTCACAGTGGAATGTTTCAGCTTTTGTTATTGTCTATCAACTAGCCATACTCACTACTCCTTAATATCTCTTTCAGCTTTTTATCATTCATATACTTTCTCTCAAAATAGCCAGTATAATCAAACCTGGTAATCAACAAGTTGAGTACGAAAACAATCCTTTTATCTGTCTTTCTCTGTTCTGGCATTTAAGAAATCACAAAAGTCATGCTTTGGACATCCTTATTTTCCCCCTCATTCCAATATACACAAATAATGAATCTGAAGGCACTAAGGACCACTTGCACCAAAGAAATGTTTGTTCTGAAAAGGAGACTTAGTACATGGAAACTTTTTCCTGGGAGCATGCAGTTTTGTCTGAATAATATGCTACTGGCTTGTAGTGAATTGCGGTGTTTTCAAACTTTACTGCTGACAAAATTTTAAGTAGAATACCCTGAAGGAGAGATGATGATGCATTTAAGCAATTGGACTGTGTATCCTACATATATTGTTTGAATTTGTCATAGATGTATTTTGTAAAGGTCTTGTTTAATTCCCTTGAGAGCTTGTTTGGAGAATGGAAAGGGTGAGAGAGTGGAGATAGACTTAATGAATCTTTAAGCGCAAATTTTCAACTGCTGCCACTAAAATTTAAAGTCATGCAGCAGCTTGTTTCCCGGTAGCCAGGAATGTCATGAAGCAGCCTAGACCTCCATCCCACTTCCTAGAAAAAAGCTGAGATGGTGAGAGCGCGGTCGCGCTGGCAGGCCAGGAAGCGCCGTCTGTTGCAATGCCTCCCGTAGCTGTCGGTAACTCAAGTACGCACAAGGGCGGCCCCGCAGGCTTGGTGCCTCCTCTATAAAGCAACATGCTCCGGCCGCACATCTTTCAGCCGGTGCATCGCGGGGGAGAGGTGCAGGTATGCCAGCAACACGAGAGGAGGTAGGGCGCTGCCTCACTACAAAATGAAAGCAGATGAGTTGCCAATAGCCGTTGTCAGCGCCTGTAAAATGTTCTCTCTAAGCTCATTTAGCACTTTCCTTTTCCTTTGTTTTTCCCCTTTGTGGAGTAAACCAAAGCTTTGTGTGTACTAGGAATGTGTGTGAGGGGTGGGGGCAGTGGCGTTAGGGTACTGAAATTGGAGAGTGTTCAAGTAACATACGGGGGCCATCGTTAATTTCTGTGCAAATAACCTTCTGCTGTGATGACTCTCTTCATATATGAAGGAAACAGAAATATATTATTTATGTAACATACACATGACATTTTGAAATTATGCAGTGATACTTTTTAAAATTACTTTTGTTGAGCAGAACTAATTTGCCTTCAGTGTTGCCGCTAGTGATTTTCGGAGCATCTTGTGTGTCGCCCTGTGTGAGCAGTGAATCTTGCACACAGCTAGTGGGGAAGAGGCAAACACTTTCAAAATAGGAAAATTTGACTGAATGCTGGCAGGAGCTCAAAAGCAATTACATACTCTGAAGAGGTACTCTTAGTTCAGTTTTACAAGAAAGTAAATGTCAGGGCAGTTGAGTCCCCTTCAAATAAAATGATTTGATTGGGGAAGGTATAGGTAGTGGGGCTTCCTATGACTTGTGCTTCTTACTTGTTGAAAGTGATTTCTAAGAAAAAAATTAATTTTTTAATGTACTTTTGCTGTGAATCCTTCATTGCTTTTGAAAATTGTTAAGGTTCATGTCGCTTGAGATTCACACCTGAAGTCTTTGCTTCCTCATTGTCAGAAGTGGTTCTGTGTTACTGTTCCATATAGGATTGCTTAAACAGTTGAATTGGTTAGTGAAGGGCTTTTTCTCTTGACTACCCCTGGACAGCATGGGTACATTTTCAAGAGAATCTGAATTGATCATTTAAGGATTCAGGATTCTGTCAGTGTTGGTGAAAGTCAGAGGCAGGAAATGTATCACTTAAAGCGGGTTAGTAGCAGTTAAACCAAAGTTAAATTAATTTTATTACTTTTTAGACAGTTGGAGGGGAAAAAATAGTTGGTATCAGTGGAAAATGGCGATGGTGGTAAGACTGGTAGCCCCTGTGGAGCAGCAAGAAGGTTATTTATGTGAATGGCTGTTTTACACAGAACCGACTGGGAGGGAATGGCAAAGTTCATCATCCTCAGTTGGGTACTCCTTATGGCTGTCCAAAGACATGTCCAAGCACCTTTATGTTGCTGAGGAATGGTTTGTTCTCTGTAGGTTATAAATGTTACATTTTATTTTTACCGTTCCAGAAACGTCGTTTGACTCACTGAAGATTTAAAACCGACAGCACCACAGAGCCATGTGGGACAAAAGGGGATTTTAGTCTCAAGTGGCAGAATCAAGTCATAAGAAGTAAAGAGATTTGGATGGTTTCTCACTAAATGGAAGTTATCTAGAAAGCCTCTGAGACCACTACATCTCTCCATCCCACTCCTGCTGCACGGAGAAGGTGCTCTTGGCCTTGGATGTTAATAAAATGCTGGATTCAGTCAAGTGTGTCCTGGTGGGAGACTCTGCGGTTGGGAAAACATCTCTCTTGGTACGTTTCACCTCTGAGATGTTTCCAGATGACTACAGACCCACCGTATATGAAAATACCGGAGTGGATGTCTTCATGGATGGTGTGCAGATTAGCTTAGGCCTTTGGGACACATCTGGCAGTGATGCCTTCAAAGGCATTCGCCCCCTTTCATACCAACAAGCAGATGTGGTATTAATGTGCTACTCGGTGGCAAACCATAGTTCCTTTCTGAACCTGAGGAATAAATGGATCGGCGAGATCCGCAGCCATTTGCCCCGCATTCCTGTTTTGGTGGTGGCCACTCAGACTGACCAGCGTGACACGGGTCCGTACCGTTCCTCCTGCATCAGCCCAATAGATGGGAAGCGGCTCGCCCAGGATGTGCGAGCCAAAGGCTATTTGGAGTGCTCTGCCCTCAGCAACCGAGGGGTGCAGCAGGTGTTTGAGTATGCCGTGAGGACAGCAGTCAATCAAGACAAAAGGCGGAACAGGCGGAAGCTCTTCTCCATTAACGAGTGCAAAATCTTTTGAAGACTCTCAGCAGTGGTTTTGCTCATGTTCGTTCTTTCTGTTTTCACACAAAGATACTGCGGCGGAGAGAATGGGAGGTGAATCAAAGGAGAGCTCCTGGCAGGACCACAGCGCAGGTGCCTCATGAGACAGATGTGCTCTCTATCTGATTCTCTCCCCCCAAACACACATGGGCACTATCTTGAAAAACAAAAGGTGCAGGTACCTGCCCTTATTCACAAGCCTGTGTTTGGACTTTGCTAGCCTGGACTGGAGCAGGCCTAGCCTGGAGATCTGCAGATAACAGCTGTGCTGATTTTGTTGTTGTTTCTGTTGATGTTCCTCAGTTGATGGTTTGTCTGCATCTTCATTTATTTAATGATGAACTTCTGCCTGGATCAACCCCTACCTCTGTCCATGTGGATTTTTTTCTTTAAGAACTTGGTATATAAAATCTGACCGCTGTGTATTCTATTTAAAAGAATCTTGTATACATTGTTGTAAAATCCTGAAAGTTTGTTTTTGTATTTTGGAGGTTTTCCCTTTAGCTAACCACAGAAGCAAATTGTCCTATCCATGTCAAAAATGGCCTGCAGGGAAGCCTAGCACTTCTTAGACATGCCCGAGTTGTTGCATGACAGTCATCAAATCCAGTACATCCAGTATAGGAATGATCAAAACTTAGTGGCATTTGGCAGCTGTCTGGCAGCTCTGTGAGATTTATCTTGTTACATTCATCTTGTTCCTTAGCAATGTAGTCAAACATGGGAAACTAATCTGATTCTTCCTAGACTTCACCGGGTTACAACCCCAGAAGTGCTTGCAGTCAGGGCTGGTTTAGACATATGGTTGGGGTGGCAGAGATGAATCTGTGCTACCTACCATCACTTCTGTTGTGCCTGCTGTAATTCTGGACACAAAAGATTTTAGTCTCCAGGGATGAAAGCTATTTTTTCATGAGCACTAAAATTTTCACATATTTTTAGTACACTTTTTTTTCGAAGCAGTGGGTTTAGTGAAACCAGTCACTTACATAAGTAAAAAATTAAGTACATGGCAATGTTAAATTTGTGTATTTAGAATGGCTAAACAATATATTTTTTTTGAGTTTGCATCCTAAGTTTAACTGCTTGGGCTGTATCAAAGGAAGATTGAAACAGGCTTTGCATCCTGGGGAGCTTGTCAATTCTAAGAGTCAAATCCTGACGTACCTACTCGGGCCAAGTTACCCTTCTGCACAGAAAGTCAGGCTAAGCAGGTGGAAACTCCAGGTATGTTAGAGAACTCTGCTAGAAGATGGAGTGGGCTGCACACACATTGCTGTACATTCCTTGTGAGTTGTGGCAGTCCCCTCCCCCTCAGATTATCTGTCTCCTCTGCCCTGCACCATCTCTCGGGTCTTGCAGATCTGTCTCATCCTAAGGTTTCTGCTGCCCACAGAGGAAATCCTCTGCGGGATTTCTTAGTACAACAAGATTTTCTTTGTCCCTTTCCCTGTCCTTCAACTAGCTCACTGACCTGTGAGGGGCTTATAGAACTGACCTTTGAGGAGCTTATAGCACTGACCTTTGAGGGGCTTATAGCATGGCACCATAAAAGATGGCACACAGCACAGTAGGATTGTCTCACGTGTGATGTAAGTGAGCAAGTATTTGCATTGCTGGCACCTCGAATACCAGTGGTGCACAGGACACATGATGTCATTGTCCCACCAGCTCCTAGACTGGTGAATATTTACCCCTCATCAACCTGATTATAAGGGAGGCTTCTGGTCATAAAAATATACTGGTCTCATGTGAGGATTTAATATCAATTTTAAATTTTTTCAAGCTTCTACACCTGTACACACAAGACAAGGATTCCCACCACCACCCATCTTTCCTGAACTCTTCTCTTTCCTACTTCTCTTTCTGTTCAGGTGTTGATTGCAAATCCTTTGCCCGGGAAACACTAAAACTGACATATTTGTAAAAGAATTTGAATGCCATTGAACTTATGTGGAGTTATGCAAGTGGCTGAGTATTTGCGGTCCTTGGTTAAAAACCTGTTGGCTTTTGGGAGAAATATGTTTCTATATCTCAACTTTTGCAGTGCCTCTTCACTGAAAGTCCTGGGGTTTATAACCCTAATTTGAAAGTATCCATTGTTACTGTTCGAACATTACTATTGGGGACATTTTTGTTATGTTCCCCACTCCACTAACGGCTTTAATACCTGGTTTCAGCTTTTTTTGAGACATATTTTTCCAGCATGCTCTATTCAATGGTCTTTTTTTTTTTTATCTCAGGGGGTTAAGGTTTGTTTACAACAGTTCATGTTTTTATGTGCTGAAGAGCAGTAACCGCTAGGCCAGAATGCTGTGTTGTGGTATCTGCCACAGGGTGCCAGATTCAGGGACCAGAAGGCTCCAGAGACTTGCTGTCTCAGACAATGCAGATAAAGGTGTGCTCCAAAATCACACCGTAACAAGCTTCACAAAGCTACAAAATTAAGAATTCAGTGTTTGCTGCAGTTTAGTGAAGCAGAGTGGAGAGGCTTCATTGAGTTGCTTGAGCTGATGATACAGGATGCACAGGGAATTTAGGGTGGCTTGATATACTCTTGATTGTGCCTAGAGGCAGCACAAGGTGTGAGACCACTGAAAGCCAGCTGATATTTAAAATCAAATTGGAAAGAGTATAAAGTAACAGTGGGATTTTGGTTAGGTGCTCTGTGAAAAAAGCGGTTCAAATTTTCATAGGCTGGTTATTTTCAGACTCTCAAAGCTAAAACGCATTTTTCGCTGGGAACCAACTGTAAAGCACATATATTTTAGTGCCTGTAATTATGCAGCTGTACAACTGATGTGCCCAAGAAGTGTGACAACCCCAATACAGAGGCTGAAATCTGGACATACCAGAATTCAGATGAAAATTTGGCCAAATGGCTTATTGGGGTGTGGGGCTTGCACAATTGCATCCATGTTGCCTGTGGTAAAACAATGAGGGACTGCTGAGGTCTCCTGTGAAACCCTACCAGGGTAGTTTTGCTTATGTTTACCTGGGCAACAGTGTCCTTGGGTATCGCTTAGGGGTTAAAATCCAGCTCTGGAATTCAAAATACATTCAAATGACACATGTGAAATTTCAACTTCTTTTGCTCTGAAAAACAGCAAAACAATGTGGAGCCTTGCCTCAGTCAGGTCAAGCTTTCAGCTGAGGGAAGAGACCTTGCCCAAATATTCTCCTTCTTTTTTCTCAAATCAATCCCTTTCAGTTCGTTACTCTGTTGCTAATCTTATTTTTGCTTGCTATTATCATAGGTTAACAGTTTAAGAAAAACCAGAGAACACTTGGAACTTAAAATGAGAGAAGAAATAGCAGTGTTATTTATTTTCACCACTGTCTGACTTCTCGTTTTGACAGCAAAAGTAACTTTGGATCACTTTAATGAATTCTGCAAGTCAGATAAAAAGTTGAATATATATGTTGTTGTGATTAAAATTAGAAAATATTTTTATAGCAGAAAAAAAAGGATTTTCCTTCAGTAATTTGCAAAATGAGGGGTGTACAAGTTGCATTATTTTAAACACAGATTTCCCAGGCTTTTCAAACTTATTGATATGCAGCATACAATATAAATATTTCATAAGATTAAATAATAATAATATGTTTCAGGTCTTCCATCTTGCCCTCCAATTTTTCATATGGAACATTATTCAAGCCTGTTAAATATAACTGATACTGTTTTGCCTGATATTTGCAATCAATAAACAACCTCTTGCTCCATCATGGTGCAATAACACAGCTGCTGTGTGTCAGCAAGTCCGTGTTACCCAGGAGGCAGAAGAGCATCACTACCAGGCAGCCCTACATTTTCAGCAGGGTAGAAGAGATGCTGCTTAGGGCTCCTCTTACCTGCATCATAGGCAATTGCCCTACTCTGCAAACAGAGCTGGCCATGCCGCAGTCAGAATTCTGTCACTTGCAGGTGCCTTTGCAGTAACAGATTTATTTTGTGTGCCATTTCTAAAATCAGTGTCAGTCTCCAAGTCATTATCCAGGCTCTGTTGTGCTGATAGCATGTTGCAGGACTCCAGCTGCTGCATTTTGGGGTCTCAAAGCACCAAGCTAAATCCTGTGCGCATCCCTTCCTGAGTGTGGCTAGCTGCCTCCAGCCTTGCATGAGCTGTGAATCAGTTAACAGCTAACAAAATAATAGTTATTGTTGCCTTTCTGGTTATGAAGAAGTGAATGAGTGACATATCTGTCTCAGGTATTTCACAACCACCTTACACAAGGCTGGGTTTCTGTCATTGCTTCTCTCACCTTGGGTATGTTCATGCAGGGGTGGAGCAGCAGGGCACGGGCCTGGTGGTGGTTGTTTCTGTCTCTGGAAAAGAGGAAGGAAATGATGATTGATGTCTTCGCTCAGTGTGAAGTGCTCACTTACCCGCTTTGGCAGCGTTTCTAAGAAGTCTCCAGCGGGTACTGGCTCCCACAGGCACCCCAGCAGCTCCCAGCTCTGCCTTGGAGGATGAAAGTTCTTGGGGCAGCTCTCATACCAAGAACTGGGAGTCTCCTCTCACTGCCTGGGTTGCCTTCCCAAAATGCTCCATTGCAGTTCAGGTACCACAAAAGGGTGAGATTTTCAAGTGCTGGCTTTGCTTTGAAAACCAAGATCCCTTGCAAATGTTAGCTGCCCAGGATGTGGCTGTATCTGCTAGCCACAGCACGGCTGTGGTGGCCGAAGACGCACAGCCAGTCTCAGGGTGTGAGGGGAGAGACCCAAAGCTGATACTCCTCAACTTGGTATATGAATTAAATATGTAAAAGCAACTGGAGGGAGAATTAAGTGTCTTATATGCAACACATAAGCACTGCTGAATTTTCTCTTTCCCAGAAAATTATGGGGTTTTTAAGATGTGAAATGCTGAGTGGCTTTCTGGCTATTACCTTAACTCTTGCATTTATCTATCACTGTGAAGCGGGATTCCCTAAGAGACTGGTTTAGAACTTTTAATGAATCTTGGGCATTAAAATATATACATGTATTTTAAATTATTATCTAGTATGTAGAATTTGTGCTGGTATCTGATCTGTCATAGACTTACTGACCAACTAAACCAGAGCTGCAGCCTTGGCTTGTGATTAGAGCAGTGGCTTCAACGATGAATGTTAGCTGTTCAGTCTCTCCTGCATTGTGCAGAGCTTGGCAAAGCTAGATCAGGTTAATGGGAAGCTTTTAAGTTTTACCAGGCTCTGGACCAGGCCTGTGTAAGGCTGCACAACTCCAAACAGACTGCTGGTGTGACCGACCTGCTCTCCGTGGCTGATTGGTGGATGGCAGGCTGATAAACTGCAGGCATGAAACGCTACTGCACAGACACCCTGGCTGTCCCTGGCCCCACTTCCGCAGCTGGGTGACACTGAGCCATGGCTCTGCTGGCCCCCCACAGGATATGGGGAGATGGCATTGACCCTTTTTTAAAGTACTTTCAGATCAGTCATAAAAGATCTTTGTGCTGGTGGGTACTTTGGCGTTTGTCAAGTCTGTCAAATGTTCCTGCTGACAGATTTGACCTGAGGAGTTTGTTCTGAATGGATCTGTAACGCACTTTGTGGGATTAGGGCTTTCCAGCATTTCAAGTCACAGGGAGTAGGTAAAGCATAAGGGACAGAAAGAAAGGGACAATATAACGATGCATTAACGACTACTGTTTTAGCAGCTTGTAATCAGCATAATGACCTTTTTAACTGTACAAAACATGGTATGGGCTGAGTTAGCACCTGATTCATCAGTGATTAGAAATCTAATTCTTCCTGAGGGAGTTATGCTGAATGCTGGGAGGCTAAAATAGAGAGATCTCTCCATAGTTATCCCTGTTCCTCTTTCTGGGGCATGCTCTTGCATTCTCCGTAGTTACTGGACTCTGGGATGGACTGATCTCAATGTATGCAACAGGGACATTCTTACAGTAAAGATTTAGTTCCCAGTCAACAGGTTTCATTGAAATGTCATGACCTTGAAAATATTACTGTTTCCTCTACCAGTAAAGAAAAGAGGCTGAACACAATCTCAGCAAGAATTTAGCTTTAGGGACTTTGACCTGGGAGAGTAGCTGTGAGGTGAGAAACTCTGGCAGTTTTGCCCTTAGAATTTTACCCTTCCATGATAAAATACTGGAGAGAAATTACCAATGTTCCCCAAATTGCTCTTTCGTGATGGCAAAGATTTTTTTTTGCAGTGGGAGCAGTCAGGGTTACTCATATAGAGACCCTGGCTCCCAATGCAGACACAACTTAAGGAGATTAAGTCAAGGAGAGGAGCATCTAACTCTGCTTCATGTCTTTCACAACTTTCTACCTGGCTGCCAAGAATACTGATGCACTATCCTTGCTCTGTAGCATTCTCAAGTTTTTGGCTCTCTGTTGTGTAGGGCTATAGCTTTGTTATTTTTTCCCTGAATATCCAGAGACATTTAAAGAAAATGAGGCACCTTTACTGAAGGTATTTCCCTCTTGCATTCATAGCTGACACATGCTTTTGACTCTCACATATGTCACAATTTAACTTTTAATTTACAGATTAAAAAAAATCCAATGAACCTTGCCTAGCAAAAAATTAGTTGGGAAGTTGCTTCCACCCCACACCCCATCAAGAATAGCTAGTTCTGGTGTAGTCAATCTTTGCAACAGGTGACAGCCAATGCTGGTGGAGTTAGATCCAGTGAAACTGCACAGCAGAGACTGGAGGAATATCATTGCTTTGCGTATTATATACATGACTGATACAGCTTTAAGCTGAGAGTACAAATAGCATATGAAAACAGAGATGGCTTTCAGAAAGATCCAAGGCAGAAGTTCGGATTGAGATCTGGGACAAATCACTCAGGGAAGCTATTGAGTGATCCAGAATTAACAGAGTATTCACCAAGCAGAAGAGCTTAGATGTCTGGAGGGTAGTGCCCTGATATTGTACACATGACAGAAGAACCAAAACAGTGGGAAAACTGAAACCTGAGGCAGGGTGGCTTGAAAAAACCCTGCCTTTAACTTCACAAAATCAGTCTGCTGAGCTGTGCGTGCTGTGACGAACATGAGAAGCTCTGAGTGTGCCAGGCACAATGAGTGAGATGCAGAAGCAGCAGCAAACTATATCATGTTATTGGAGTCTGC